ACCAGACCCCAGTCCTAGAGCCCCGCTCCTGGGCGCGGGCGCCAAGCCTGAGCCTCCTGCCCTCGGGGGGGGCCCCAGTTCCTCCACAGCCCTGCCCTGCTGGAGGTGCTCTCTGAGCAGGACGCCCTGACCCTGCTGGCCCAGAGTCTCAGGGACCCCAGCCCCGAGGTCCGGGCGCTAAGCCTGCAGGGCCTGGGGAACATCCTCTTCCACCCGGAGAAGGTAAGGGCGCGGGGCCCCTGGCTGGTGCACACCCGCCACCCCAGAGTGGCCAGGACACAGGTCCAATCCCAGCTCTGACCCTCCCAGCTGTGTGGTTAGGGACATGACTTCACTGCTCTGGGCCGCAGTTTCCTCATCTGTAGATAGGGGCCAGGGTGGCTCCACACCCCAGAGGGACACAGGGCCAGGGCAGCAGCCTGGGAAGGGACATCGCTAGGGGACCCTGAGTGTGTGGATCCAACTGGCAGGGCAGGAGTTGGGGGCACAGGGCCGCCGGTCCTGGCACCCTCGGCCCACAGCACCCGCCATACCCCCCATCCCCAGGGAAGCCTGCTCCGCAGACAGCTGCCGCACTTCCTCAGCGGCTTCTTCCAGAACAGCGAGCCCGTGGTGGTGCACCTCATGGGCACCGTGTCTGAGGTGCTGCACCGCCTGGGGGCGCAGGGCGTGGGGGCCCAGAGCCTCTCCGTGGCCGTCAACGCCCGCTCCTTCTTTGACGACGTGAGTGTGCCCCAGCAGGGATGCAGCACCCCCACTCCTGGGCCTGTGCCTCAAAGGCAGGGAGAGCCCGGGCTGTCCTGCAGCGAGGGCAGGGGACGGAGGCTCCGACGCCAGTGTGTGGAGCTGGCTTCACGGCCACCAGGTGGCACTCGGCCCTTCTCTGCAGCCAGAGCCCGAGCCGCGGTTCAGTCTCAGGCCCCCACCAGGGCCTCACGGCAGATGGGTCTTCATGTTTCTGAGAACTGTTTTCCCTTCACTGGGAAATAAGGGATTAAGTCTCGCCCCCATAATGCACTTGTGACCCTTGGGTTGGCAGGGTGTGATTGTGTGAGGGTGGCAGGGACACAGCCCACCAGCCCTGCCTGTGGGGGGAGTCATGGCCCTGCCCCGGCAACACCAAGCCTGAAGAAGGTGTCCTGCTGAGGGAGCTGAGCCCCGTCCCCATAACAGCCTGGGTGGGGGGCCAAGCTGGGTGGAGGTGGGGACCCGCGGGCAGCTCTGGTGGTGACTCTGCCCCCTGGCTTGCAGGAGCGGGAGGGTGTCCGGGCGGCGGCCATGGCACTGTTTGGGGACTTGGTGGCATCGATGGCAGGCAGGGAACCCAGGAGCCTGCGCACCCAGGTCCACCAGAGTATGGTGCCCCTGCTCCTGCACCTGAAGGACCGCTGTCCAGCCGTCATCACGGTCAGCGCCTACTGAGGGGCCTTTGCCTTGGAGGGCCGGGGGCCAGGGGGCTGTGGACTGAGGGGTTGCCCCTGGGGCAGCAGGTTTGGCTCCTGCATTGGTCTCCTCTCCGGTCTGCCTGCTCTCCCTGTGTGCACGCACACACACTTGCACACTCCCACCTGCCTGCCCTGTGTGCACACACACACAAAAGCACACTATCGTCCACCCTCCCCATGTGCACGCACATGCCCGCACCCAGGTGTGCACATGCAGCTGTGCCTTCTGTGAGCGGGACCAGCCTGTTCTGTTCATGCCTTGTCCACTGCACCTGGCACCTGGTCAGGGCTCAGGTTGCTCGTTGAACCTGTGAAAATGTGGGTGGAGCCCCGTGTGCCAGGCCGTACCCTGGCCCAGGCCATTAAGACAGCTCAGCCTTCCCAGGCTCCCTGGCCATCAGGGAGCTAGACAATGAGCAGCCAGTTTGGAAACAAAACAGGGGAGCTGCCTTGGGTGCAGCCTGGACCCCAGTGCAGTGGCCAGGGGGTGGGGCTTCCCCAGAGGCTGTGAGCAGGAGCCGAGTGGGTGCAGCCAGAGGACAGTAAGGCAGGAGGGTGACTGTCGGGGAAGGAGCCCGGCCTGGCAGCCTTCCTCAGACCCCACCCTGAATCCTGGTCCCCTGGCTGTGAGACCCCGGCCCCTGGTGACCCTTCCCTGCTGTCCCTGCAGCAGGCCAAGTTCACCTTCTACCGCTGCTCCCTGCTGCTCCGCTGGCGGCTGCCACACACTCTCTTCTGCACCCTGGCCTGGGAGAGGGGCCTCAGCGCCCGCCACTTCCTCTGGTCCCACCTGGTGAGGGGCCTTGGGTGTCGGTGCGGGGCACTGGGCTGCAGCTGGGAACGGGAGGTGGTGTGGGGGAGCTGACCCCAGGCCATGACATGCATGCTCCCCTTGGCCAGCTGACCCAGAGGCAGGAGGAGTTCAGCATCCATTTGTCACAGGCCCTCAGCTACCTGCACAGCCGCAATCACCACCTCAAGACCTGGGCAGCGCTCTTCCTAGGTGACTGCGGGTGCCCGGACTCAGACACCCCTATGCCTGCCCCGTCTGCCTGCCTCTCCTGCCCTGTTCCTCCCACCTAGCACTGGCCACGCCTCTGCACCTGGCCCAGAAGAAAGGTGCTGGGAGGAGGGCCTCGGACGAGCAGGGGTGGGTCTGACCCCCCAAAGAAGACAGGGAGCCCCGGCCCGCCCTCAAACCCCCGTCCTCCGGCCAGCACGCTCTCCTCTGTGTGTCTCACAGGTTACGCCACCTGCTACCACCCCCAGGCCGTGTCCCAGGTGGTGAACTCGGGGGACCTGAAGCTGCTGTTCTCCAGTGAGCACTGTGGGACAGGCCCACCCGGGCCCACCCACACCACCGGAAGCTATGGGTGGGCACCCAAGTGTGAGGGGCTCAGAGTGGGTGGGGTTGGGAACAGAAGCCCCCCCAGGCTTAGAAGGTGGAAGAGGTGGAGCCTGGGCCCACTCTGCCCCTCCACCCCACCTGACAGAGCAGAGGGCCCTCTCCTCCCCCCACCCCGGGCAGGGCTGGGGGTCACCTCTGACAGGTTCCCCCCTCTTGGAGCTTTCAAAGGTCTTCAGAAGGAGCCAGAGCCTGGCATCCAGGGGTTCGCCACCAGGCAGCTCAGCTTCCTCCCACAAGTGGCGGCCAGCCAGAAGTGACCGCCCGCCGCCTCCCTCAGCCTCCCCTCCCACGCCCACCACTTGGCCAGCGCTGCCCCTCTGCACAAAGCTTGGTTGCATAACATTTTTCCATTTGAAAGAAAGATCTAGATTCCACAGAGAAGTGTCCCACCTGTCAGCTCGCTGCCCACCCTCCCCGGGGGGGACCAAGGCCAGCCCGGCAGACACCGACAGGGCCGGGGGACAGGGCCAGGCCCGGGGTGTGGGGCCCTGCACATGCCAGCTACTCTGCTCGCAGAGGCTGCACCCGACCGGAGCCCAAGCCGCAGCCTGCCAGTACCTGGGCGCTGTGGGCACCCCGAGGACAGCAGGCCCCGAGATCCCAGCAGAAGGGGCCATTCGTCAGGGTGCCCCCAAGGCTTCCAACCGTCGCCAGCTCAGGCCCACAGGCGGCCGGTGAGGAAGGAGCCCTGTGGGCCTTTGCCCCCCTCCACTCTTGCCTCCATCCTCCCGGCCCCAGTCCAGGCTGGCGCCGGGCTGGCAGCAGAACCACTGGGGCCCGGGGTCAGACCCTCCTCATGCAGCCTGAACAGCTAGATGAGCTGTGTTACCTCCACTGTTCCACCTGTGAAATGGGCAGGAAGGCCTTCCGCCCCAGGCCCCTCAGAAGGTAGACCCAGAGGTCTCCCTGGCAGTGTCCAACTTCCTGGAGACCCACCTGACCTTCAGCTGGCCCTTCCCTCAGCCTCGGTTTTCCATCCTGTGAAATGGGCAGCATGCCCTTTGCTGGCCTCATCCCTGGAGGCCTCCCTCTGGACCAGACCAGCCGGCTGCCCCACCAAGACCACCCCCAGCCTAGCCTGCCCACCTTCTGTCCTCTCCAGGGCCCCACTGACGCCTCCCGCCTTCGATCCAGCCACCTCCCACCGGGAGCACCTCCCCACTCACCCGCCATGGTACCTCCACATCTTTCGAGGACCAGGCGGCTTGTCCCCTGCCCCCAGCCCCTGAAAAGCTCCTCAGTGGCTGGGCGCCCTGCCCCCCACACTAAACAAGGGGCCGGGGAGGAGGGTCCCCTGGGTTTGGCCGGTGGGTGCAGTCTGGGGGTGCTGTCTCCCCTAAAAAGAGCTTCTGTGGTCTGACCCACTGGCCGCCCTCCGGAGGTCTTTGGGTAGAAGGGCCTCCTCCATGCTGGGGATGGGCAAGCCCCTCCGGGAAGCCGAGGCTCCCGGGGGCCGAGTCCGGTGCCGGGCAGGGCCACCTCCTCCTGGCAGGTGGCCGCACTTTGCATAGCCAGGCGCCGGGGACCTGGCCTAGCACCGGCACTTCCCCCCAGGCCTGCCGCAGCAGGCCGGGGGACCGAGGTTGGGGGGCAGGCCCCGCCCAGGGGCCCCAGCAAGGTGCAGCCCCAGGCCTGCCCTACAAGCACAGAATGGGCCCAGCTAGGGGACACCTGCCTTGCCAGGGTCCGGGTCTCTCCCAAGGCCTCACCCTGGGCCCCCATTCCTGGGCCCACCTCGTCCCCTGGGAAAAGGAGTGGGGAGAGCGTGGGGTGCTGGGCAAGCCCCCACCCCAGCATGGGTACAGGGGGCGATGAGGAAGGGGCAGGCCAGGCAGGTAGATCCAGGTGAGGGCAGCCTGGACACAGGAAGCCGAGCCGGCCGCCGTCCCCCGCTCCCTCCAGTCCTCAAAGCCCGAGATGAGGGCACTTGCTGAGGGCAGCACAGGGAAACCACACACTGGCCACTAGGTCCCAGCCTCTGCACATCAACAGGGCAGCCTGGGAGCCCTGCCTGCTCTGTTGTGTCAGGGAGGTCCCCTGTCCCTAAGCAGGAGAGCGCAGGACCCAGCATGGACACCAGGGGGCGGCCCAGAGCAGCCTGGACAGCAGCCTCCCTGGGCGACCCGACCTCACCACGCACACACAGCCACAGGGTCCTGGTTTATTGCCTTCGAGTGTCCGGAATAACTGGCCGCCCTCAGACCCAATCATCTAAGGGACCGAGAGCAGGTCAGGGCGAGGGGCTGCGGAGGAGGGGTTGGGCCCAGTGGTTAAAAAGTATGCCCGCCCCCAACAAAAGGCCAGAGAGAAGAGCCGGGCAGGGAGGGTGACAGCAGAAAGGCCAGGGCCCCGGACAACACCTCAGTGAGACAGACACACGGGGCAGACCAGAGACAAAAGGAAGGGCGGGCCTAAAAAGTGGCAGATGGGCAGACGGACGCAGGGACAGACGGGCAGAGACGAGGGTGCCTGGGTGGAGCAGGGTGGGAGGCGGGGGCGCCGGGGCACTGCTGGGGGAGGCCGGGTGGGCAGCCCGGCCCCAGCGCCCGAGCTACATGACACAGCATCGGGCCTTGTGTGTGTGCGAGTCTTTGAACCGCAGTCTCTGTTTGGGCCGATACTTTTCCAAGTAGGTGAGCTGCTTGCTGTTGATGGCTCCTCGCCGCTTCCTGGGGAGACAGGCCTGGGGTGGGGATTGGGTGGGACCAGGCTCGGCCACCTGCCCTGCCGCAGGGAGCTGGAGGCCGGAGGGGCCAGGGGGCTGGAGCAGAGCCTGTCCTGCTGCCAGAACTGTTCCCACTGCCAGGCCCACCTCCCCAGTCGCCTGCCGTGACCCCTGCTGGCCTCCGACTCACCTGGCTGTCCCCTCCTGCAGGCTGACCCCCTGAGCTCCCTGTCTCTGTGGTCCCCACCTCGGTGGACAGGATGTTTACCCAGGTGCCCACGCCCCCCCTGGCCACTGGCCGCTGGCCGCTGGAGGACGGGCAGGTGAAGCCTGAACAAACCTGCTGTCTGGGAGGGAGGGACCTCAAGGACAGGGTGCGGCAGGTGCCTGGGGCTGTGCACCGAGCTCCTTGCAGGTCAGCCGTCCACTGCCCAGGACCTCAAATGTGACTGTGGACTCGCTCTGGCCGATGAAATGTGAGTGGAAGAGACACGCGTGTGCCAGGCAGAGCTACGAGAGCCATCACATGGTCCACTGTGGCTGTCTCTGTGATCTGGTGACGCCACAGGAGATGGGCTGCCCCCACTGATGGCATCGGATGGGTCCCAAGAGCAGGGACACCCTGTGTGGCTCTCAGTGGCTGGAGTCGGGCCCACTCACTCCTGCAGCATGGCCCAGCCCGTCCTGACTCTCTCGGCCTCGGGCTGAGGGACCACGGCCCAGCCCTCCCCCCTCCCCCGCCCCCCAGCATAGCCCTGCCCCCGTCCTGGGAGATGGACCCCACACCCAGGGCAGCCCTCCAGGCGGCGTCCCAGCCCTGCGCCCTCGGGGCCAGGAGGGTGCACAGGGGCAGGAGGCCTCTCAGGAGCTGCCCCGGCCCCAGGGTCAGGAGTACTGCTGGCAGGGGTCTGGGCTCGGCAGGGTGGGGCGCCCCCTCCAACCTGGACCCCAAAGCTCACCCAACCAGCCTCATTTGGCCACTCACTGTCGAATGAACTGGATGGCGTCTTCATACTTCATCCCGCTCTCGATGAGGGCTAGAGCCACGAGGACCGGAGCCCTGGGGGCAGACAGCAAGGCTGGGTGATCCAGGCCTGTTGGCACCTCCCTCCCGACAGGCTACCCGCTGGAGACACGGGGCTGAAGCCTTCACCCTCGGTAGCCGGCCGCCCAGACTCCCCCCAGTGCCCCTCCCTCCCCCGTGAAGGGTGCAGGCTCGAAGCTCAGCTCACCAACTGGTCCAAATCCCATTCCCTCCTAGCCCTGCTGTGTGACCTAGAGTAGGCCAGGCAACCTTTCTGTGCTGAGCTCAGGATAAGAACTTGATACTCAGTTACCAGCCCTGCTCAGCCGGTCCTCCCTCGGCCAGTTGCTTTCATCAAACCCAGGCTGTGTAGTGGGATTGGGGACTTTGTGCCTGGGGAGGGGTAGGGCCAGCAGCTCCTTTCTGCCAAAGGGCAGGGACAAAGTTGCAACCACAGCAGGAGGGACTGGAGTCAGACTTCAGGAAGGACTTCCTCCCTCTGAGGCTGCAGGAGGCCCGTGTCTGGGAACCCTCTAGAAGGCAGTCCTGTGCCCCCCACTCACCGTCCCAGGCCTGCCACGCAGTGCACGGCCACGCAGCTGCCCGGGTCATCGCAGAACTTGGCCTTCAGCAGGCTCAGCCAGTCCTCCACCACCTTGCCAGGCGGGGGAGCCCCATCGTCAAACGGCCAGTCCTGCGGAGGGCAGCAGCCCTGAGCACCCCGCCCCACAGGTGGGTGGGCCAGCGGGGCTCAGGCCAGCCTCTCCGCAGGCTCCAGAGACGGCAACGCCGGGCTGAAAGCAGCCTGCCTCACCGCCTCGCATCTGACCAAACCCTTCCCACTGCAGTGGAAGGCGGGGAGGGGCCGCCGGCCCCCTGTCCGGAGAGGCTCCGCCCGCGCTTTGCTCCCAGTCCTCCAGAGCACGCCAAGGTCACAGGACTGGGAGGGGGCAGAGGCGGGGCTCAGGCAGAGCCTGTGTGACCCCAAAGCTCCAGTTCCTTCTGCCATTCCAAACAGCTGACTGGAGGTTAGAAAGTGACAACTGCCAAAGACAGGGTCCCTGCAGGGCCAGGGGCCTCTGGTGCCCAGGTGGCTGAGGCCGGAGCAGAGCTGGGTCAAGCCTCAGTCGGGCAGCTCTGTGCCAGAGAGGTGCCATGAGACCCACCCCCGGGGACGTGGCAGCACAGCCACCCACCCTCCGCGTGGACTCGGGTCCCCAGGGCCAGGGACCAAGGGAACAGCCCAAGAGTCCCTCCCTCGGCCTCCACAGGCAGCCGCCAGGGGGCCGCCAGGTGCGCCCGCGCCTCCCTCCCACAGCACCTGCTGCCCAGCGACAGGGCCCCAGGCACAGGAAGCCAGCCACGGAGAGGCGGCCTCGGAGCCCGGCCCGGGGCTGCTGGCTCCCGGCTTGGCCCACACTCAGAGTCTCGGGCATCTGCACAGTGGGGCCAGGTCCCTGCCAGGCCTGGCTGCGGGGGTCACGGCCCCAGCCCCCGACGGGGAAGCGCCCCTGCAAGGGGTGTTGTTGCCGAAGTGCCACTGCCCCGGCGGTCCCAGTTCTGCCAGCATCGGTGGCCTCAGATGGCCACTGACACCAGCCTGAGGTTCCCCACAGCCAAGCCACTTGCGGCCTGTCCTGAGGCTGAGAAGGCTCAGGCCTGCCTGCCCTGGCACTGGGGACAAGCACTCTGGAGGTGGGAATGGCTGCACAGAGAGGGGGTGACTCACTGGAAGTCACACAGCCCGATGCCTGGGCCTCCCGGAGATGTGTCCACCGGACACACAGCCCAGGCACAAACCTGCCGGGCGGCAGGCGGAGGGCGGAGGGCGCCTGCCTCACAGTGCCGTCCAGGCGAAGAGGGGCCCCTACCCGCCAGCAGAGCCCCCGCACCACGCGCCCCTCACCACGACGGTGATGCCGTCCTTCTCCAGCAGGGCCTTGTCGTAGGTCACCTCGCACACCCGCACCACGGTGGTGGCCCCATACTTCTTCAGGTCCTGGCAGGGAGGGGAGGAGGCCGGGCTGGGCTGCAGGGCTCAGGGTGTGACCCCCTGACCAGTCTGTGCTGGCCCACCTGGACCGAAAGCCTGGGGCACAGGAGCAACTGCGGGGGCCTTTGGGGCTCCCAGACGTGCTGGGGGCAAGTGCCTTCTGAGGCAGCCACGCCCTGGCCCTCCGAGCAGAGAGGAGGTGTTCCCACCCCACCCAGGCTCCTGGTGACCCCCGCCTCAAGCACATTACCCCCTCCTCTTGGGGCTCAGGACCCAGCAGGACCCCATTTTCCACACAAACCTCCCAGGTCCCCAAGCAGGGACAGGACACCACCAGCCGGCCCGTGGGCTCTGGCACAGCCCCCACTCTGAGCAGCCCCCCGGCTCGGGGCAGGAATGGTCCACCCAAGGGCTCCTCCAAACCCCACACTGAGGCCGTCAGTCTGGGAGGGGCAGGCCCCCGGGGGCAGGGAGAGGGGGCCACAGGGAGAGCCCGCCTGTGCTGAGCTGGTGGTAGAGGGGAGGCGGGCCCTACACACCAGCAGGGAAGCCCCAGGGAAAAGGTCGAGGCCATTCACAGCCAGGCCCAGGACAGGATATTTATACTCGGGGGCGGGGGAGGGCAGGTGTCCCCCCGCCGGCCACGTGCAGGGGCTGCTCCCCCCCCACAGCTATTTCAGGGGTGGTGAGCAGTCAGCTGCTGGGCCTCCCCGTCATGCGACAGGGATACCGGATACAGTGAGGTCAGGACAGAGCACCTCCAAGAATTCGAGGGCGGGGTGCAAGGCTCGAGGTGGTGGGGTGCCCTAGATCCCTCAGTGCCCCCTGGGGTCGAAGCCCTGACCCCAGTCACATGATGACCCTTGACCCTGCCTCACGTGGAGCCCAGAGCCCGACCACAGGCTTCGAGCTGCACTCAGTCCCCTCCCAGGTCCCGCCACAGCCTCATGGGTCCCAGCTGTGGGGGCGTGGCCATAGAAAGGGCCTCTGGCTCACGTCTGGGGTCCAGGACCCTGCTGGCCCGGTGCTCACCGCCTGCCCCGTCCAGTCCTCAGGGCCCTTCCCGCCCGGGTCTCTGTGTGTAATGGTGGCAGGCACTCACGCTGCCGAGGGCCGAGGCTGAGGCCCCCAACAGCTCCGCACACAGCTCGGCACGCGACCCGCCCCCAGGCTCCCGCCAGAGGCCGCATGAGGGGACGTGGGCTCTGCAGACACCCCTGGTCCCCTCTGCTGGGGATGCGAGCGACGCCCTCTGGCCCTCGGACACCCCAGCTCGGACCCTTGCCCAGCTCCTCCCCACACGGACACAGGCAGCCTGACCCCCCACCCGGCCTGTGCTGACCCGAGGCCTCCACCTGGCCTGTGTGGGCTTCCTATGGCCTGGGCAGGCCTGGCGCTGGCCATGGTGCTGGCCTCCCGCTCAGCCGCTGCAGGAACTGAGGGCGTGGGCCTCCCCTCGCACCTCTGGACCTGCCTCGGTCCATGCAGCCCGGGGCCCACCTGCCCACACATCGGCCCCAAGGAGCCAACTGACCTCCCAGCAGTCCTCACCCTGAGCTCTTGGGGACGGTCTCGTGTCCCCCTCGGGGATCCTGTAACCAAGGGTGACAGCTACGAGTCGCTCTCAGGAGGCTGAGGGCAGTGCAGCCAGGTCTGCAGGACACCGGGCCCGGCCCACTCACCTCGACGAAGCTGCTGAGGGTGGCGTTGGTGGGGTTGTGCGTGATGAGGAACCGCATGTTCTTGTAGCTGACCTCCACGGGGGCCGGCCGGTTCATGCGGGCCATGGCCGCTCCCTGAGGCGGCTGGGACGCAGGTGGGGAGAGTCCCCAGCCCCCCACAACCCAAGAACGGGATCTCTGTGCTTGTCCAAGAAAGAAAAATGCTTTTTAAAAAATCCGCCCCCGCCCCCAGCACAAATATTGTGCAAACACTTGGGAGGGGGTAGGATGGTTAAAAAAGAAAATCCAAGTCTTTAAAAAAGAAAAGCAAGAAAGAGCCCCCAGAAGTCTAACAGGCCATCGGAGCCCCTGCCTCTCAGAGATGGGCAATCAATTATAAACAATTAATCATAGGAACGATTAATTACAAAAGGGCGAAAATGAAAAGAATGGTCAAGAAACTCCGAAAAGAAAACTTGTAAAAGCCCCGAGTCAGTCTGGCCGCTGCAACCACGTCCCACGCCGCACCGGTTGCCGGGACGTCCTCTCTGCATCGGTGGGCGGGTGGGCGGGTGGGCGACCCCTCCCTCAGGCGGGCCCGAGCCCTCCAGGACCGAAGGGAAAGCACACTGCCCCACGGGGCCTCCCTGGGGCGGAGGTCACGGGCAGACGGGCGGCTCCAAGGAGTAGGCCTGGGTCACGTCACCCCATCAGGGCACGGTGAGTCCTGGCAGGGCACGGGGGGCTCAGGTGGCCCTGGGCCGGGTGGAGGCCATGGGCGGGCGAGGGCGACGGCGCAGGCCAGAGGCACGGGGCACCCTCAGCGGCAGGCGCGGGGACGCTGGACACGGCGGCGCTCAGGGCTGCCGCCGGAGGCCCTCTCCATGGATCCCAGGCCGGTCAGCAGTGGGCAGCGTCTGGGGACGTGGGGGAAGAGGAAGTGAAACAACCAGGGGTCACCAGAGCCCCTGCCCTCCAAGAGGGGTGTCAGCCTGCCCAACCCCCACCACCTCGTCAACGCTGCTTCCCCCGGGACCTGCCGCGGGAACTTGCTAAGGGGAGGCCCTCCTCGGGCCTCGGTCTCCCCACGTGAGTGCACGAGGAGAGGCGGCTCCTGTCCGTCTGGCCCGGGGCCCTTAGGCTACAGGACAGCACCAGGATGGAGTGAGGAAAGGGTTCCAGGATCACGCGCACACCCTTGGGGAGTCCTGAACCGCAACACACAGGTGCCAGGCAGTCTGTGGCGGCAGAAGCCTAGCACCCTGAGCCCGGCGCCCCCAGCCCGTGACCAGCAGACACCCCACCCACACCCCAGAGACGTCCGCCTGTCCACCGAGGAATCTGAGCTGGGTGACTGGGGCAGCGAGCGGGTCCTCGGACACAGGGGCGCAGGCATGGGGGCCGAGGGGCTGGGGCCCGTGGGCGAGTGGGTGAGGTTCCACTCACAGCCTCTCTGCTGTCCCCAGCCGCTGTCCCCACCATTCGCCCACAGGGCTGGCTGGGCACAGGGGTCAACAAGCCGGGCTCTGTCCTCCCGGAGCTCCGAGAACTGGGACAGACCACAGCAGCCAAGGGCCGGCCGCCGGGCACACACAGAGCAGGTGACAGCACAGGCGGCCGGGAGGGGGTCGCTCTGGGACAGGGCGCCAGGGCGGGGCGCTGCCAGGCCACAGAGACAGGCACCCAGCACCCCCACACCTGCTTCTCCCTCCTAGGCTCCCGAGGCCCAGGCCTGGGGCCCCCAGCAGCCGCGCACAGGCTCAACGCTGGCCTCAGTTTCCCCATCTGCCCCAGAGGTTAAACAAGATGCACCCAAGTTCCCTCCAGCTGTGACCCAGTGGCCGCCAGGACCTCAGCCTGGGTGCAGGAGGGGCTAAAGGCCTCAGACCCCAGATGCCACTGCCGCTCCCCGGCTCAGGGCAGCCGCCATGTCTCACCCCCACCCTGCCCCTTGTGGTGGTCCCAGGAGGGGAGAGCTCAACACGGCTGTGGTGCCCCCAGGGCAGGGGAGAGAGGCAGAGAAGGGTCCTGCCCTCACTCAGCCCCAGCCGGAGCCACCCTGCAGCCAGAAAGAGACTGCTGTGGATGCCCAGGACAGCCAGCGAACGAACGCCTGAGCCTCCCGCGGCGGCGGCACGGCACCACATGCACACGTGTGCATGCGTGTGCATGTGTGTTTGCCAGAATGAAGGGGGGAAGACCCGAGGAAGCCTCAGGGCTCTGCCTGTCTGCCTCCCTGCCTGGGGACACCTGTGGGCAACAGCAGGTGGCCTGGCTCTGCCGCCCAGTGTCCCTGGGAGAGTCCTGAGGGCCAAGGGTCACTGGGCAGAGAGGGGCTAGGAGCCCCTCCATACTACTGCCCACTGGAGCCTGGAGTTGTCATGTGTCAGTGGGGTTAGAGGTGAGGGGTTAGGCTGGCTAGGGTCAGAGGTCTGGACAGAGGTGGGACAAAGGCCACTACCCAAGCTGCCACACCCACCAGTCCTCTGCAGGGTCTGGGACTCCCAGTCGCAGGTGGGAGCACACAGGATGCCCACTGTCCGGTCCCAGATGCCCTGTGTGGCTCAACCAGGCCTTGGGGCCACCCCAGGAAAAGGCCGTCCTCCTACCCACGCCTCCTTGGTGAGGCCACTGAGCAAGCTCCCCAGGCAGCACGACCCAAGGCCACCAGCTCCACCCCCTTGCCCACCCCCAGGCCACCGGAGTCAGGAGCCCATCCCTCTGGCCTTCCGGCCGCAGCCCACACCCGCTCCCCTCCCGGGACCCCAGCCTGCCTCCTCCAGCCCTCACCCTGCCCAGAACAACTGTCCTTTGGGAACCTGTGAGGGGAGGCCCCTCACTGCCTGTCTGCAGAGGACGGGACAGCCCAGGGAGAGACAGAGGCCCTCCGTGGGGCCCTGACCAGGCCAGCAAAGTGCTCCCCGGTTTCCTCGAGCCCAAGTCCAGGAGTCAGGAGTGGTGCTCATGCCAGTTCGGGGAGGTGGAAACCACGCTCACCCCTGGTCACAGCTGGCTGCGGAGCCAGCAGGAATGGGAACCCACAGGGTTTCCGGGAGGGCCGGCCCCTCTGGACCCAGAACCGGGAATGAAAGCAGGAGTCTGGAGGACTGGGGCTCAGGGGGGTCCAGACGGGCAAGGCGAGAACGCGGGAGCGCGAGCCCGTGGGCGGGCTGGGGTCCTGGACGCGGGCTGGCTCGGGTGAGGCCACCCTGTCCCGCGGCGCGTGAGCCCCTGGCGCGCGTGGAGGCTGGTTCCGAGGGCTGCGGCCACCTCCCCGGGGCGGGGCTGGGGTCCTTCCCGGCACGCCCCCCCGCCCGCGCCCTGCGCGCCCCGCTCACCGGAGAGTGAGGGCGTCCTGCCGCTGCCTCCATCCGCACGGGGCCAAACCGGGCCCCGACCAGGAGACCCACGGTGCGGGGCGCTGGCTCTCCGCGGAGGCTCCCGGGGCGGGCGGCCCGGGGCTATTTATAGAGCCCGGGCATCACGTGGGGCGGGGAGGCCGGTGACCGGCTGGCGACCTGGCTTGTTGTGGCTCCCACACCTGCCGCCTAAATATAACTGTGGGTTCTCCGCGACCGGCAAACAAAGGGGCGGCGGAGGACCCAGCGCAGAGGAAGCGGCGCGGAGGAAGGGGAAATGCAAGGGCAGAGGGGAGGGCCGCTGGCCGCCGCGGGGCGGGGCCCCTGCCGCCGGGCGCAAGGCCTTCCTCCTCCCCCAGCGAGCGTGCGCCGCCCTGGAACCTCCGGGGCTCCCCACGGCCCCATCGGAGGGGGGCTGGGGTAGAGCCACGCGGCGCAGAGGGTGCTCCTGATGAGCACCTCGGCCCAAGCCAAGGCTTGGACCCAGAACTTTGAAAATGCAAAGGAGGGTAGCCATGGCCCAGATGGGTAAACGAGGCTGACGCCCCAGAGTCACTGCCACCACCACGCCTGGCCACGGCCTCTGCTGAGGCTCCTGCTGGGACCCTGGCCTCACACTGAGGACCCCTCCACTTGCTGAGCACCTACAGCCCTCACGTCCTGGCTGCCTGGAGGAGCGGCAGCTGCCATTCCCCACCCCGCCCCTAGTGTGCAGGTGAGGAATGGACGCCTTGGACCTCGGAGCGGGCCCAGGGAACCACAAAAGGCAGGGTCCACGGGTGCTGTCTCCCCGCACCTTGCCCTCCGAGGCTGGGAAAAGCCACCCACCCTCCAGCCCAGGAGGCTCTGTGACACTCCCAGCCCCTCCCCAGGGTCCTGGCATGCTTCCAGGGAACCCCAGTCCAGACGCACATGGTCCCCAGACTCCGCACAGGGTGGCCAAGGAGGCCCTCACAGCCCAGGGCTCTCTGCTCCCAGCTCCTGGATCCTGGCAGCATCTCCCTGGACGGCGGCTCTGGACACTCAGTGCCACACCAGTCTCCCACTGTGACGGCTCACTGTGGTCTGTCCCCCCAGACACAGCCAGACCCTGCATACCGTGAATGAGACTGTCAGCCACACCGAGTGGGTGACACACAGCAGCCTAGACAGCTTGAGTGACTTCCTCCGGCCACATTGGGGCTGGGTCCTGCCCCACCAGCCGTGGCTCCCTGGAGACAGGGCCTCTGGGACCAGCGGCTTCCCACCCAGCCTGTCCCCCATCCGTCCAGGTGAAAGTTCCCATGAAGCCCTGGGATCTGCACACAGGGCCCACCCAGCTGCTTGGGCTGCAAACCTGGGCCCCAGCATCCCTATCCCCCTGGCCTGGGGCGCCCACTCGGGCCAGGCCTGGGGGGCACCTGCTGCCCCTGGCACAGCCCCAAGCCCTTCAGAGAAGTCTATTTTTATCGGGCAGGAGCCGTTCCTGGAAGCCTCCCAGAGCAAGCCCAAGTCCACACACTGCAGTGGGGGGGCCTGGAGGGGAGATCTGCCAGGACGAGCCCTCACTACCTCCCCCCCCCAGAAAGCCTCCCAGAGTCCTCCCGCCCTTGCACACAGCACCCTGGGTCCAGCGCCCACCGACAGCCGCTGCTGCCTCCCCCGCTCTCCTGCCCTGTCTGTCCCCTCTCCCGCCAGCACACGCCTTTCAGGGCAGAGAGCAGCCCACCCCGGGGAAGGCGGGTCCTGGGGGCAGACACAGGTCGTCGACTCCACCCGGCCTCCGGCACTCGGGGCTGGCACCAGGGGCACCCCCACTTGTTTGTGGACAAATGACCCAACGTTCTGGGCAGAGGTCCAGATCTGGGAAACTTCCAGAACTCATCACGGGATCTCAGCCCCTGAGGTGCAGAAGAGCCTCAAAGGTCACGTACGCCGTCTAATCCCTGGCTCGCACACCCGACTTGCTCACTACTCTTTGGCATCGCCCTCCGACTTCGGGCAGCTCCCCAAGTTACCAGTCCCTCCTTCTAGTGCCTGCTGAGTGCCCGCTGCTGGGGTATGACTAACAGGAGGGAAGCCTCCCAGTGGGACCAGCCCGCACGCAGGCAGGCGCTGCACAAGGCAGAGGGGGAGCATCAGGTGATCAGGGAGGGCTTCCTGGCGGAGTGGGCCTGGAACGGCATCGTCAGGGCTTGGCCAACTGCTCCGCCTCCCTGTGTGGCCCGGGACCGGCATTTGCCTTCTCCGGGTCCTGTGGCCTCCTCTACAAGAGGGGACACTGCCGCGGAGGGAAACCACGGTGTGCGGCGGGGCATCTTCCAGCCGGTCCCAGAGCCCCCCGCTGTGAGCTGGCTGTGGAGCCTCGTGCGAAACAGTCTTCAGTTTCCACAGGGCCAGGCTCCTCTTCTACCCACTGGAGTCTCGGGACGGCGAAGACACCTCCCGGAGCTCAGCTGCCACCGCACAGGCCTGCGAGCATCAGCCCTGCCACACGTGTGGCTTCTGGTGCCCGCGGGACCTGGCACTGACTTGCCTACCCACACCGCCCTCCCGCCAAGGCTACCGTCCCATGCTGTCAGCCCTCGGCACCGCCTGGACAGGCTGCAGCTCCCCCACAGACCGGAAGGCTGTCATTGCCACCCTCAGGGGTGACCCGGTGGGCGGGCAGGAGGGCGCAGGGCCGTGGGGCTCCTGCTTCGATGTTCAGTCCCCCCGGGAGTGGCGTTAAACCAGGGTCAGGCTGCCCGTGTTCACAGTCACTAGGAGTGGCTGGTACCCGCTTTTCCGTAGAACCCAGCACACGGGGGAGCAGGAGGGGGTGTGGTCAAACCAGCACCCAGCGGCCATGTGGCCACGGGTCACGCGTGGCAGCCGTTCTGCCCCCCGCGCCTTCAGGAGACGTGATGACAGGGGACCCGAGCCCGCCCTGTGCACACCGGCTGTCCCGGGGTGGTTTTCCACAAGCTCTCCTTTCACCCCCACAGCCTGGCATAAGTGGCCAGCCGAGCCATCGCTGCCGTGCTCCGGCCCGCATTTAACAGAGGACGTGGGCGCAGAGGGTTCCTGAACTCCCGAGGGGCAGGGGGACTGGGTGTCGTTGTCGTCCCCCCCCCCCGCCCCGTCCACGGAGGCCCGCGCCACAGCTGGGAGGCGGGGGCACCTGACAGTCCCAGAGAGCCTGGGGGGAGGAGGTGCGTCTCCACGTGGCCCAGCTGCAGCTCCGCGAGGACGAGGCAACCAACCCCCTCACCCCATCTGTCCGAGGAAGCCACTGAGCCAGAAGTCCCAAGGACCCCTGGCCGCGCGCTCTCCTGAGGTCTGCCCCGGGGTGGCCACAGGCAGGCCTCCAGCCCCCCCACCGCCCACACCCACCCCCCCACCCCAGGGAGGCGGCCAGGAGCCCTGAGACACTCACCCGAGTCTCTAGTCCTGGAGTCCCTGGTGGCCGCACCCCCAGCCTGGCTTTATCCCCATCCGCGTGCCCGCCCTCCCGCGTCAAAGGCCCCAGACCCCCGCCCCCCCCAACCGGCAGGGAGGCTGGGGCACTGGCAGGGGCGGCCGGGAGGTTCCTGCCGCCCAGCCTTCGGCTCCCGCCTCTGAGGGCCGCCAACAGCTGGACAAGGGGGCTGGGACTTGGGTCTGAGGTCGCAGGGGCACCCCGGTCCCAGGAGGAAGAAAGGAGAGCCCCTCCCCCACCAGGCCAGGCACTGGGGCTGGAGCGGGTAGGACAGTCCCCAGGGCCCTGTAACTGCAGGCAGGGCTGCGGGGGGCAGGGGGGCGAGAGTTGCGGGCATGGAGCCAGAGGGGAGGGGAGTCCAGGCGCCAGGGCCCGGACCTTGCAGCTGGCAGGGTTGGCAGGGGGCGGCGGGTGGGGGTGTGAGGGGGGAAACCATCCTACGCAGCAGCGAGGGTCTCCTCAGGCTCTGCCCTGTCTCCCCTGCCTGCTCCACGTGAGCTGGGGACAGGGTCTGAGCGGCCTCCCCTTCCCGGGCGGCTTGCCGCACTCCCACCACCCCACCTGCCCACACGGAGATCGCTCACCCTCAACCTGAGTGCCCCTCCCCGCCCACCCCTCACCACCACCTGCTCAGGGGGTCCCCAGGGTCTCTCCCATCAGCCCGGCTCTTCCCAAGCGCCCCCTGAGCCCTAAGGCATTCAGTTCACCCCACTGCGGCCCTTTCCTCCCGAGAAAGGAGGGAGCTGGCCAGACAGTGGACTGGACAGTCACCCTGCCCTGCTGCCCGCAGGCCCTGCTCCGGCTGAGGAAGTGGGAACCCCCACCAGCGGGGGAGGGGCTGTTCCTGCCGCCCAGGGCCAAGGTCAGCTGCCCCTCCCCCCCAGGATGCTGCCCCAGGATGGTGATGTCCGGAAGGGTGGGGCGTCTCACCCACCCCGGGTGGGGGTTGGGGGGGGTCTCAGGCCGTCCAGTCTCCTAGAGGGAAAACCCTGGGACCACGGTGGCCCCCAGATGCCCACACGAATGCCCACACCCCAGGGGAGCAACGAGGGGCAATAGCCATAGGAGGGACCTACCCTCCCCCCAAACCTCCCTCCATCCCCGCCCCTCTGCACACCCCCAGGTGGGGACCACCCAGGGGACCACCCCACACAGCAGGAGGGGCAGCTCCAACGTGACTCTCAGCAGTCCCCGACCCGCCCAGTGGACCAGGAGCCCTGTGGGGACACTCACTGGTCGGGCCACAGACCGGGACCTCGGGACCAGACGGCTCAGCCAGGAGGGATGGGGACCCTCCCCCACCACAGCCCAGCAGCAGCAGCCCTGCAGCCGCCCTGTGCCCTCGGACCAGGCCCGTCTTTCCGGCTGGACGTAGCAGGGCTAGGGCCTCCCCACAGCCTTTGGCATTTGCCTCTGAGGTGGGCTGCCCCCTGTCTGAGGCCAGGAGCCCTGCCCTGGTGCACAGAAGGACAGAGCCTCGCACAGTGGAGCACAGCCCATCCCTGGCTCCAGCCAGCGGTCTCGTCTTGGAGTGGACGAGACTGGACTCATCCAAGGGCCCAGACCCCGGCCCCCAGACAGGCAGGGCCCTCGCCTGCTGGTGCTGCATTGGCCCCTCGCTGGGCTGGCCGGGGCACCTGGGAGTCGTGTTCAGTAGGCCCCGCGGCAACCCCTCCCCCAGTCCTGGGGGCCTGGCAGCAGCTCCCACCGCAGAGCCTGCTTGTCTGGAGTCGGGGTCGTCTGGCTGGAAACTCCGGGTCCCCGGGATGCCAGACATGGGCCATGGAGCTTCAAAACCCAGCCCTGGCCTCAGCGTTAGACCTGCGGCCTCCGTCGCGG